GGGGAAAAGCAAGACACCAGCTTGCTAATTACTTCAAGACACAGAGGGGAAAAGCAAGACACCAGCTTACTAATGAGACATGCATTTTGTTGAACAACCGGTACTCCTGGAAGTCGCAGTGTGCATGTGGCCAGTCATTGCGACAGTGCTCCGACGTTTCCACTAGAATGAATTTATGTCAGCGTCCCGGGGCCAGTCATCCCAGCACGCTGAGGGTAAAAGGACAGAGAATCAAAAGGGGAAAAGGGGAGCGTGGGGGAGGAGGAGGAGAGCGGGCAACAACCAGGCGTACGATACCTGGTAGTTGGGATGAAGAGCATGGCCCATATCTGCTGACACAACGAAGCTGTTTTGGCTTGCTTGCTCAACCAACTGCAGTTACACAAACCACACAAAACGAAGACACCGGCAGTTGGGTCAGAATGAAATTGTCCACAGCGGAGAAAGTGAGAGGAGAGATGCTCAAACGTCATTGAGCCAGTCTCAGGGGACCCCCATAAACCAAGTCGATCCCATGAACTAACGTGTAGAACGGTGCGCGCTTGCAAGTGGCCAGAAATGAAATTGTCTTGTTATTCTCTTATTAGGGATCTCGGAAACCGTAATAAGCCAGCTAGAAGGTTTTGCGATTCTCTTATTCGGGTATTCGAAAAGTAATAACAAGAATAGCGAGCCCAATAGCAGATTCTGCAGCAGCTACAGTTAATACGAATAAAGCAAATAATTGACCCATCATGTCATCTAGATAAACAGAAAAGACTAATAACTTAATAAGCCAGTTAATCAGATTAACTAATGTGTACACCTTCTGACCATTTGGACGGGTGCAACTTGCAATATTTGGAATTTTTGGAATTTTTGAAACCATAAAATATCATGCATTGGGGCCTATTTGGGCCCATCCCTTTCGAGTTTCAAACTGTTTGGCACTATGAATTTGGTACCATTGCGAGCTCTACTTGGGGACCAGAAGTTACGTCCCATACATAGCTCAGAGAGTCTGACAAAGATTAACCAAGTCCCTAAGTTAAGGAGCATTGCGCCATCTTTTTTTTTTCTTTGTTTTTTTAAACAAATAGCGTGGGGACATCCGCTAAAATTGTCGTTCGTTCGGGACATTCGTTAAAATCGGAACGATACAGAGAAGATTAAAATGGCCCCTGCGCAAGGATGACACACATCAATCAAGAAATGGTCCAAAGACTCCAAATATTTTAGAGAGAGGGGGAGGAGGGGGGGGGAGGGGAAGAAAGGAGCATTGAGAGAATTTATTTGAGACAACTTACCCTTAAGCCTTAATCTGTGACTAAAATTCCACCCCTTGTGTGCCCAAGAAATATTGAATGAATACTCAAACACAACCCTTAATGAAAGCCACAGAACAATCATCCAAATTGATCCAATCCAATCTGTGACTTAAATTCCACCCCTTGTGTGGCCAAGTACAAGCTACGGTGATGCGCCCACGACCCCTAGAGAAAGATGTTGCAGGGCGAAAGCTTACATACCCCAGAGATTCCATAATGTGATCCCTGCATTATTGCTGCCCATTCTGTAATCCGTGTCATGGCATCTCTCATGAGTGTCGAGCAAGCACCTTGTGCCGAATTGGACCCAACCTCCTCATTGTCAAACAGAGCTACCATCCGCACGCCCCTCTCATTGTACAGTGCGTCTTGTGCTGATGTCGATTCCACCAACGCCTGAAAACATCAAATCCCGACGGGACGGCACATATATGTTAAACCTCTCTCTCTCTCTCTCTCTCTCTCTCTCTCTCTCTCTCTCTCTCTCTC